TGATGACGGACACGTGGCCTTAGGCATGAGTCAGGGTTTCCTAAATTTTTTGAAATAAAATATTTAGGTGGCGACTCTGAAATCTGGCAAAGCAGTCCATGTTTGTCGTTTTTTGATTAAAATCAATTTTTCAAAACGATTTGCCAGATTTGGACTCTTTGGTGATTTATCAGTCTTACATTGCACTTTGTGAGATTAGATTCAGAACTGTGACAGGAGTCCGAACTGTAGTAGCTATGAACTACAATTCGCGCCCTCACGCGCGGAGCGGAGTTCTAGCGGTCTACAGTTTCTGGCGACTCTACTAGGGATTTAGAGAACTTGACTTGAACTCATGATATGTTGTTTTGTCTACACTTATGTGTTTCTTTGCATTGCATTTGCATTGGTACGCCTAGGACACCATGTTTGCCGTCTGCTATTCCTGAACGGTTTGTCGGAGGTTGCGTGCCATAAGGCTGACCAGTTACGAGCTCTGCCACGATGGGAACACAAACCTCGGTTGTTACCGAGACACCCTTTTTGACCATTCGACCTAGTGCATATCGGAATCCATAGTGACCATTCCAAACTAGGACAGGTTACTTACCCGATTATAGGTTGTTTGAAACCGCTGTGTGCGTAGTGAAACCTTAGCTCCTGACAAGATAGGACAGGGAAACCCTACCCCAACATAGGGGTGTTTTGGCTCTCATTTGCTTGCTATGTGCTTTTAGAGTGTGTCTCTACAGGAATACATGTATCAGTTTGCAAGTCTGGGTATCAGGCCTGCGGGCATCAATATTTGGGGAATCAGTTTTATATGAGGGTATCATATTTGAGGCAGTGATTTGGGGACAGCGATCAGTGTTGAGAACAGTGTGTTCAGCTTACAATGTCAACTGTGTGTTGTGTTTATTTAAGCCAAAATGTTGTCCGTTTTTCTGGTTGTTTGTTTCTTTATTTTTGCTTTGTTTATCTTTTTGCATGGTAGTTTAGCGTCATTGCTTCCGAATAGGTAGTTTCCCCCAAAGCACTCTGCATTAGAGGTCGAAGACTTCATCGATCCGAGGATCTAGTTAACGGACAGGTAGTGTTCTGTTCATTACCCCCGATTACTAGACGGAGGTCAGTTAGGCACAGTTCACCAATACAGCGGTTACCAGATCAGAGGTCCTTATCCACCCCACCAGTGTGTAGTCAGGCTCAGGTTTCCGTTTCTATCGCAGAGAGAGATATACCTGTTGTTCAATCAGATCAGCACCTTACGGCCAATATAGAGGACATGATGCGTCAGCTCCAAGAGACTATGCAAGCCATGCGGCGGGATGCTGCCCGCCAGGCAAAGATTGTGGCACAACAGGCAGAGTTAATTGCCAGGCTACAACAGCAGCAGCAACCACAACAAGCCGAAGCATCTGCTTCGCATCCACCCTTACCCCCACCTAGAGTTCCAACACTCGGGGAGACTGCAAACATCCAAGAAGATACAGACGTCCAAACGGGGCTAGTTCCGCCACCAGTTCTACCGCAAATTTCAAAGACACCGGCTTTCTCAACAGATACACCGTTTGAATCTGAGATGGACCCAACCGCTCTGAAGATGATTAAGCTTGAGAAGCTGTTCAAACAGGCCCAGGAGGTCAATTCCATTTCGGACATAGAGGATGGATACACTGACTTAGCAGTGACGTTGCCAGACCAGTTCAAGATGCCGCATATAGACCGATTTGATGGTTCTGGAGATCCTATGGTACATCTGCAGTTGTTCTCGGATATCCTACGGCCAATGGGCCTCTCCAGATTGCAAAAGCTTTCACTCTTCGGCTAGACCTTGTCGGGTATCACGGCCATCTGGTACGCCAAACTAGAGGACTTAGTGAAAAGAAGTTGGGAGGAAATGGCTGAGGCCTTCGTCGCCCAGTACTTATATAACACACAGATCGAGATCACAACTCATGATCCCGAGACAACGAGGCAAGAGCCAAAAGAGGGCTTCTCTGACTTTGTAACCCGTTGGAGAGCCAAAGCTTCTATGATGACCACCAGGCCGGTCGAGAAAGATCAGATACGGATGGTTGTGCACAACCTCCAACCCAAACTGACACAAAAGATGATCGTCTTACCCCCTCCCTACCTTCGCTGATTTACATGAAATTGGGATACAAATCGAGGACGCCATGAAGTAGGGCCTGATTGACCACAAGAGAGAGCAGCCCAATAGGGCATTTACCTACAGTTCGAATGCAGGCACGAGTAGTGTTGCAGCTGCTAGAACTTCCGATGTGGGCATGGTCACCACCACCATATTAACAACAACCACACCCTTTACCGACATATCTAGTGCCACCCCTTAACCAACAAAATACCCACCCCGAGGCCAGAGGACTTTTACCCCGTTGTATATGCGTTTGTCCAAGGCCCTGGGGGTTTTAATCAAAAAGAAGCATCTGAAGCCCCTCGAACCACACCCACTGCCAAGTAATCTCCCACCAACCCATAACCTGGCCAAATACTGTGTCTTTCACCAACAGCATGGTCACGACATCGACCAGTGCTTCAGACTGCGTCATGAGATCCAGGATCTTATTGACAACAAGGTGATTGGGCCTCCAAAAAAGCCGAATGTCACCACCAACCCGATCCTACCACATAACCAAGCTCCACCACCCAAACACATTAACCTGATCCAAACCGCGGCCGTTTCATATGACCCAAGCATATACATCACACCTTCCCACCTACCCAAGCCTGAGGTGTTCATCCCAGACAGCACAGACTTGTGTGTGATAAACACTTTCCAAACCCAACCTGAACCGGTGGTGGTGACTATCGAAGATAGAATTGGGTTGACTCTAGAGGAAGATGAGAATGATGATTCAGAGCCTAAGGGGTCTGGGAGTTTTGCAGAGGAAGCGTACAACCCGAGTGGTTATATCACATCAACAGATCAGGCTAAGCCGAGGGTAGAGTTGCCAATAGGGGCAGAGATCAGTGTGGTTCGGGAAGATGGACCAAGTCAGGGGTTAGATGACCTAGCAGAGCTGGAAGAGGATATTGCCAATCTACAGTTCTTCAACGAGCAAGACTCAAAGGATGTGGACATCAACTGGTTCGACTTGGATGGACCAGCAGAGGCTACAAGGTGGCTCAGTGACGAGCCATATGTTGTTGAGGAGCATCAGTCAGAACAGGGGCATTCAGAAACGGGAAAATCTACGGTGGCCAGAATGGCCAAGAATCAGGAAGCATCGCCGAAGAGCACCAGTGCGAAGAATTATGCTCGAGAATCAGGCAATTTATGTATAGTAGACAGTGAACAAGAGGCTGCATTGAAGCGCCTTGAGCAAGAAAAGATCGAGGATCTTGAGAGGGCTAGGAAGGCCAAGGCCCCTGCAGGGACAGAATATGCTGTGAGCACCAAAACAGTTACAACAGAGCCGGACAGCTGTCTGTCAGTTGTCGACGGGATGTAATAGG